CCAGTTTTTCTCCAAGACTTACACAAAAGTAAACTTGCTTTATCTTCTTTTACATCTGGCTATTATTTGTCTTGGTTATCACAACAAAACTGCCCACAGTATTAGTGTCTCCTTTCTTATCTGGTGGGGGACATCCAGCTATAGCCAAATCCTATTCATTATAACCACAGAGGGACCTTCCCTTCCCTACTGTCTTTCTTCACGGGCCCTGGCTGAGCCCATTCTGCTATGTTTTCAGTCATTGTGGTCTCCTTACATGTTGTGAACTGGACAAATATTTCTATAAAGAGGCTGTAAGATTTCCATTTGTTTACTCATTGACCATTAGCCTATCACTGTAGTCAGAACAAAGAAACTGAAATATAACGAAACTGACATTTAGCCACTGAATCTGCAGCCTTCTTCCCAAGATCTGGTCCAGCTAATACCAGTTTCAAGGAAGAAGAGAAGATCATGGATTTTTACCGCCGTTGACATGAGAAAATGAACTGACAATTGTTTCTATCTCCTGTCAGTCACCTATCAATCTCCTCCCAGAAGTGTAAAAGTAGCTTTTCATCAATAGAACACAGTGCATGATTAAACACTATACTGTCTCATGTTTTATTATTATTCTCATGAATATTATAGTCATTTCTCATGTAATAGCTGCCAAGTTAAAGCAACAGCACTCAACATGCACAGTGATGTGAATTGTGTGCCTTTGTCTTCTCTCTTAGGGTAAATTACTTAATAACCATACATAGTACATACAATTTTTTAAATTCAAGTTTATAATCTTAAAACATTGTTGTTCAAGTTATGCTATTTTTCCATATGCATATGTATCTGTGGTTTGTATGCATTTTGTGTGTGTGGAAGCACATGTATGTAGGGGTACATGCATATGCACATGTAGAGGTCTGATGTTGGTGTTGGGAGTGGTCCCTAATAACTATTCATCTTGTTAATTAAATCAGGGTCTGTCAGGAGCTTGTCTGGCTCCTCTGCTTAGCAGTCTTGCTCTGAAGACGCATTGTCTCCTATACACTGGAATTACAGGTCAGCCCCACCCAGCTGGAATCTGTGTGGGTTCTGGGGATCAAGATTCTGGTCTCCATGCTTGTGTGGCAAGCACTTTGACTACTGTACCACCTCCCAAGTCCTTGATTTGTACTGTTAATAATACCCCTAAGACTACCATTGCTAGGGGAGCCAGAACCTTGCTAACAGGAGGGAAATGAAAACCAAGTTGGTCTTTGTAAACATCTTAAGATTGTAAGTAGAAATCTCTGGTGGTCTTGAAAACGAGTGAGTGTACAGACAGATGGAGATGGGAGCTGGTGATGATTTTACACTGTGTGTGGTTGCATGATTATATCGAGACTGGGAAAGTCAGCTAAGTTGCAAGAAGTTGTTGAAACAAATACTTGATTGGAGTGGGAGAAGTGATATGGCTTCGGAGTAAGAGTCATTTCAAGGTGAGATGGGAACTTGAAAATCAGTGGGAAGCCAGACTTGGAACTTAAAGCAGGAGTTGATAAGTACAGAAGAAAACAATTTTTTTCAAGACACTTCAGACTGATTACAGGGGAGAATAGTAGAGACCAGGGAGGAACAAAAGGAGGAAATTGCAGGATAAGTCAAAGATGAAAAATTGTCAACACAAGTGTGAGGGTTTTTCCAATAGGAAGAAGGTATAAGTATTGAAATGTGCCACCCAAATTGGCTCACCTCAGGGGAGCGAAGGTGGCAGCCTAACGTCCTGCCAGCAGATGGTTTTCTGTTCCTTTTCAATAAAATGTGAAACAGAACTCCCCGACAGAAAGTCACGAAACACAGGGTCTTTGAAATTCACTTGCTGTTACTTGAATCTTCTATCTATTTGTGTCTTTGGATACAATTGAAGCTATTCGCTAAGTTTTTGACTAATGGATTTTCTCTTATAGCTGCAACCAATGTAAACACAATGAATATAAAGATCGTTCGAAGCTGGTATTTTTCAACTCCCCATATTCCTACCTAGAAAACAGTTCAGTAGAAGACATGGCTTTGGCTCTAACATGGGAGGAAGAGAGTAAGATAATATTTTTCCCCACTTAGAAGTTCAAAGTAATTTACACCCCCCTCAAATTTAGGAAAGAGAAAACTGAGATTCATAAAAGCTTTCATGTTTCAGTTTGCCTTAAGCCCCTGTGGCCAGCCACAATGGATCATGATTGTTTTTAAAAATATCTCATAATACCTCCAGTCATACCCATCATCAACTCACATTTTCCCTTGATTCTTGTTACTAGTGGTTGTTGACAATAAAGATTTTCCTTTTTTTATTTTAGCACCTAGCTAATATATTTACACTCCACTCTCACCCTTTTAGCTTCAGGGATTAAAATTCTTTTTGAACTTTTTAATACCTTGATCTTACTTTTCACTTAAAATAGTCCTTTCCTAAGTGTAATTGACTTTACTTCTGCCTGAAATCTATAAACACTGCCATTGCTTAACTTCAGAATTAAATTTTCTTTCCTTGGGAATACTAGCAGTTTTAAACTACATATCTACATTTGGTAGACATTTTTCCTTTCTAGTTAAACTTATGCAGTGCTGTCCTATGCATTTGTAAAATACCAACTATTACAATTATCTAATAAACACACTTTCTTAGCCTTAAAAATCTTCCCCAAGACCTGTCTCCAGCCTACCCTTCCGATAGAGCTTCCTTTTGTTGTTTCCTATCCAAACACTTTCTACCTAGATAGAACAAATTGTAGCCATATTCTACACTGGAGCCATGCTTTTTAGTACCTTCTCTGGTAGTGTTTATGTTTCTCATTCTTTGTTCTGAGATGATTATCAAATTAGTCTCTAAGGGTATCTATTTCTGCTATTATAATTTTTTCTGGGTTCTGCTCCTGACTCTGCGTCCTAATGGTCATCTACCGACCACTCTTCCCTCTCTCCACATCCTGGCCATTATCTTCCTTGCAATGATGTGAAAATATCAATTTCCTGCTTGACAATTTTTCCTACAAGTTTTTTTATCTTGATATCCAAGTCATATGACATTTCCACCCAATGCTATGCGTTTTCTTATAGTATGTACTCCTATGCAAGATGTGTATGGCAAATTGTTGCATCTTCTTTTTAACTTAGACTTTTCTGAAATATTTGTGTTTGCTTTTCCCATCTTCAAACTTCCAGCTCATCCTTTGACGTGCTATTCAGTTATAACTTCCTGGAGCATTTCCTGGAGCACCCCAAACACAGTTCAACTGCCCATTTTCTGTGCGACCACACCAATGCTGTGGGCCTTAGTGCTGCCCTAAAACTGCAATGGCTGCTTTACCCATGTGAATTTATACCCATGTGCATGTGCGCATCTCCAGCACTTAAGAGAATGGCATTCAATAAGTGCCATTTACAAGTTGTCTGTGTAGAAACATATCTCAACATATCCCGATCTAACAGATGCTCTAAGTCTCACACATGACAACTTAGTACCTTTAGAGGTAATCTCATGTTTTTCTCTTTCCATCTTGCTCCAACCCCAGAGGATCCCAAAACACACACCAGAAGACACCATCATCACTTTACCCACTTTATTTTATTTTATTTTTTTTTAATAAGCACAATTTGCCTTTGGATGATTTAGAAGATCTTATTCTATTCCAACTTGTAAACTCTGTTAGGGCAAAAGTCATGTGTCTTTTATCTCCTAACATTTAGAACAAGAGCTTTGCAAATGTTAGAAGTAAAATAAATTTGGATAGGAGGAAATATATGTAAAATTACTTTATATATACCAATATAGAAATATCAAAGAAATTGAGAATTTTATGAGATTTTTGGAATAATCTAGCATTTTCACCTGATATATGAGATGATCAGTTTCAAAGAGGTTCTGTGGCATTTTTAAGGTCTCAGAACTAAGAAGAAAAATTAGTCAAGTAAAGCTTGATTTTGGCACAGTGCTTCTGGGTTTGTTTCAGACATGCTGTACGCTGTTTCACTACATTTTCTTATGAGTTTTGTTGATACAGTAGATGCTAAGTCAGTTTTCCAGTGACAATTATAGAAACTATGTAAATTATCATTGCTAGAAGGATATCTAAAAAGCAATTTATTTTTCCTGAAAGGGTTTCTTTGTGTAGCCCTGGCTGTCCTAGACCAGATTGGCCTCAAACTTGTAGATCTGCCCACTTCTGCTTCCCAAGTCCTGGAATTAAAGGTGTGTAACCATCACCGCCTGGGTACAATCAGTTTTTTTTTTTTCATTTTTTGAAGACTATAGCATCCTTGAACTTACATCAGTGTAAGGAAGAAGATATAGAGGAATTACAAAATGAGATTGTATAGTATGCAATATTATATGTACTCATTTTTTTTTCAACAAGACTTGGTGGTACAGGGCTACCATCCTAGTTACTCGGGAGGTTGAGAGAGGAGAATAGCAAGTTCAAGGGTAGCCTGGGTCACTTGGAACCTTGCCTCAAAATAAAGAGTAAAGCCAGGCTGGGGATGTGACCTCATAATAAAGTGCTTGCCTAGCATGTATGAGGCCCTAGCTTCCATCTGTGAACTGCAAAGAAACAACAGACTCATTGTCCTTTCCCAGAAACCTAAGGAAAACACTGCAAAGATGTTTGCTTTTATCCTTAGCACTAAGTGAAAACTGATTGGGTACTCAGCAAAAATTATATCATCTTACACAAATGTAAAGCATGATGAATATATATTTTGAGCAAGCAGTCCTGTTTATACAAGAAATTCAGTTTTTAATTCTTGACTTTTGTATAGTTTTCCATGTGTATTCCAGCCTGTATCAATAGGCATGGGACTGGTTTATCATTATTGCCACTATGTTATGATGCATTGATTCCCATTGCTAAACACCCATAGGTATTATAGGTATTGAAAGTTAAAGCACAGGACAGTGTTTGTTTCACGGCCTGTGGAAGATTACATTCTCAGAAAAGCTAGAGCAGGTCTGTAACGGCCTTCTGCTGTTTTCTGTTTGAAAGGTGAATAAGATCTGTGGCCATCCAGTGAGAGCAGCAACACAGAGCGCCCGCTGCACTTTTGATCCGAGCAAAGAGAAGCATGGAATGAAGATCTCCGCTAGGAATGGTGAAGAGACACTTGCCAACAGAAGAAAGTAAGACATTTGTTTTACAACCAGAAAGAGAAAGTAAGCCATTAATTCTACAGGAGCCTAGAATGTGTTCACTAAATAGACCCAAATGTAGTGTGGAAGAAAAAATTTAAATGCCATTTCACTTTATTTAAAATGTAGTGGCCAATGTGCTAGAGAGATAGTTCAGTATTGAGCACTTGCTGCTCTTGCAGAGAACCTGGGTTTGGTTCACAACACCCACACAGGCTGATCACAATCGCCTGCAACTACAATTTCAGGGCATCTGAAACTTCTCCTGGCCTCTGTGTGTACCTGTTCACACATGGTACATATATAGACAAACAGGCACATATACACAAACATAAAAACAAAAAGTTTATAATTGCAAGGCTCAACCTTTCTCATTAATTTGGAAGATAGATTCAGCTTGTGAGAACAATAAATTTCTTTTGACTACTATTATTCTTTACTACATTAGGGCAGTTATTATATTCTAATAATTCTAATCTAATAATAATCAGAATTATTCTTTAATATATTAGGGCAGTTCCAGGAACATGTGACCAGTGTGTATTTACACTGAGGACTAAATGCTTTAACTGACTTTAGTTAACTGTAATATGATTTCTACGTATAGCTAGTGGTGACTGTCTTGAACAGTATAAGACAGTATTGTCACACCATGTGATTTCTATTTATGGATAGTTAGCATTCTTGTAAAAAATACAACTTTCCCTACATTTTACCTGCAGTGGTAAAAATGGCCACCTGTTTATATCAAGTGGTAAACATTTAGCAGCTTGTAACTTACTGTGTCTGTCACTATTCCACTAGGTAAATTAAAGCCCTCTCTGGTGTCCCTTTGCTTGATAATCGGTGTTTAACATGACAAAATACTCAAATTAGAGGACAACCTTTTAATATTTAGTTGACTGTGTACTTCCTAGAAAATAGTGGCTTCTCTGTCATAGCCTTCTAAATTGAACCTCAATTCAGAATGTTATGTATGCATTAGTTCAAATAGTTACTTCTAATATCTTTTAGATAATCTATAATAAAAATGTTTTCTGTGGCTTTTTCAATATAATACTATCTTTTTTCCCCTCATCTTTCTCTTTCTTTCTTTCTTTCTTTCTTTCTTTCTTTCTTTCTTTCTTTCTTTCTTTCTCTCTCTTTTTCTTCATTCATTTATTTACTTATTCATTCATTCATTCTTCTCTCACATCCTGACCAGTTTCTCTTCCCTCTACTTTTCGTAGTCCCCCTAGACACCTCCTCTCCCCCAGATCCACTTCTCCATGTCCTTCCTTAAATAAAAAAGGCACTCCAGAGATATCAACCAAACATGGCATGACAAGTTGTAATAAGACTAGGCACAAACCCTCATATCCCTAATATCAAGGATGGACAAACAACCCAGTAGGAGGAAAAGGATCCCAAGAGCAGGCAAAAGAGACAGAGATACCCGCATCTCCACTCCCGCTGTCAGGAGTCCCACAAGAACATCAAGCTACACAACCACAACATATATGCAGAGGACCTAGCCCTGGCCCATGGAGGCTCCCTGATTGTTGATTCAGTCTCTGTGAGCTCCTATGGACCCTACTTAATTGATTCAGTGGGGTGGGTTCTCCTTGACCCCCTGGGTCCTATAATCTTTTCAACCCCTTCTGTGGGGGTTCCCCTGGCTCCACCTAGTGTTTGGCTATATGGATCTTGCATTTGCTCCTGTCCTTTGCTGGATTACACCTTTCTGATAACAATTGTGCTAGGCACCAATCTCTGAGTATAGCAGACTATCACTACGAATTTCATTGACTTTTTTTTCCTTTTTTCCAAGTTCTATTTGATTCTATACAAGGTCTCTGGGCTGTCCTTCCTCTGGTTCCTGGCAATCCATGTATCCTCTGGTTCCTGGCCATCCATGCAGTTCAGAATTGGGCTCCCTCTCATAGCTTGGGCCTCAAGTTGGACAAGTCATTGGTTGGGTACACACACAAGTTCTGTGCCACCATTACCCAGCACATCTCGGAGGCAGGACAGGGAAAATTCTTTGTTTATGTACCTCATTTTTTAATTGAATTTAGTTCTTTACGTATTTTGGATATTAGCCCTCTGATATGGCGTTAGTAAAAACAATTTTCCCATTTTGTAGGCTACTGTTTTGTCCTATTTACAATGTCTTTTGCTTTGCCTTACAGAAGCTTTTCAGTTTTATGAGGTCCCACTGATTAATTGTAGATCTTAGTGCCTATCTGTTCAGAAAGTTATCTCCTGTGCTAATGTTTTCAAGGCTATCCCCTACTTTCTCTTCCGTTAAGTTCAGTGTTTATGTTGAAGTCTTTGATCCACTTGGACTTGAGTTTTGTGCAGGGTGATAGATATGGATCTATTTGCATTTTTCACCATCCAGTTTCTTTTCTTTTGGTCACAGCACACTTAATTGCCTCATTCCTTTCAGATGGACTACAGATCTGAGATCCATATTTAGTCTGCTGTTGATTATCTGCTAGTAGCTAACATGAACTGGTATTCTGTGTATAATTTTTTTTCCCAAAACCTTTGTGATGAATGAATAACAACCACTCTCTTGTGTTTTAAAAATCAGTGTATTTTACCTTCAGAGAGTCTTACAGTAAAACCCAGCTAAAACCTTAAGCATTAAAAGTCAAATGTATTTTAGCACTCATACAACCTAACACAAACCTTAGGACAATGAAATCCTCAATATGTTTTATTTGCTAATGAAACTAAGCAGACTCAGGTGAAAGGATATAGAACAGCTATTGAATAGATCTTCTTGTTATGAATCTAGCAATTCATTGTCCTGTGTTTCTAACCTGCCATCCACTATTCAAATTAAATAATTTACACCTATATTAATTATGGATATTATATATATTAATTATATATCCATAATTATATCAGTTAAGACAGATGCATCACAACCCAGTCTCACACTACCCATTGTGAACAACCAGAAGGTCTGTCCTTGAGTTTGCTTAAATATTTCATTCTTTTCCCTATGTCTGAGTAGGGCTTAATTGCCATAGTAATCTATTTCTGCTTGTTACCTGTGTATTGTGAAGTTCCATTCATAAACCAGTTCTGAATTTTATTGCTCATTAACTGCTTATTCTCCAAAACATTATAGATTTCAGTTGGAACAAGCGAGCCTGTGCAGCCACAGCAGGCATTAAAGTACTGTCTTCCCTGTGCTGCCTCGCCTTCTTGAGTTTGTTATAACACCTCCCTTCCAGAGGGTGATATACTGCTTCCATAAAATACATCTTGACACTAAGTGCTTTCTTCTTATGTTTTTATTTTCCAAGTACTTTTGTTTCCTTCATATTTTTTATTTTCCAGTCTTTATGGATAATCTGCTTTGTTTTCTCATTCTGAAGACATAAACTCTAATTTCAAAACTTCAATTTTTTTTTGAGACTGTGTTTTTCTCTGTGTAGCCCTGGCTGTCCTGCACCTAGTTCTATAGAGCAGGTTAGCCTCAAACTCAGATACTCCTGTCTCTCCCTCCTGAATGCTGAGATTAAAGGCATACACCACCTTGCCTAGCTTAAAACTTCAAATTTTATTTTACTTTCTATAATACTTTTGTTCTCTTGAAATTCCCTTTCTGTTTACTAGGCTATCTACCAAAGGATCCCTTTGTAAATTAATGTACCCTTCTGTAGGAGTTCCTTTATGTGTTCTATGTATTACTTATCAGTTTTAGGATTTGTAAATATTTTCTAACATTAATCATTAATAACATTAAATGATAAATGACAGGTGAATTGTCTTGGGGTAGAAGCCATGGAAGGTTTTCGTGTAGCCAATCCTGGCCTCAGACTTTCTAGGTAGCTGACAATTACCTGAAATTCTTCTTGAATCTGTGGTCCTCCTGCCTCTACTTCCTGAATGGTGAAATTCCAGATATGAAATTATCTTTTTAAAAAGGAAATTCTTCACTTTGATTATCAAGTCCATTATTGTTTTTTCTTAAAAATTACTGCACTGATTTCAAAATCCATAATCCATGTTTTTTTTGACATCTGCAGTTTCTTTGTATTTAAAACAGAGGGAGTATGTCATATTTAAGGGGAGATTCCCTACATTAAACACTGAAATTCTAAGTCAGTTTTCCCACATGCTCTTGAACTAACATGTCCTTTTCTTACTGATTTTGTTTGTTCACTTAACATTGATTCAGATTTTTACACATAAGTAACCACTGTGTAGTTGGCTGGGCCTACGATTGTGAATCGGAGGTTGCTCTGAGTCATGTTTTCCCTTATTTATTACTATGATAATTTTTCTTTGAGGGATTTTTCAAAATTTTGTAAGTCACTTTAGTATCCTTATTTACTAGAAATTCTACAGTGTGCTTTTCCAAATAAAATAGGTTTATAGTCTTGTGGTTGGGTTGTGATTGGAGTTACTTCAAATACATTGTTGATTTACTGCTCTATATGTGGTGACTTTTCTGAACTTACTTTCTGACAGTCTAGTGATAGGATCAGGCTTTCCATTTTGTGATAATAGAGTACACTAGAACTGTATGGTCATGAAAGTTTCTGCATCTGTTCATCTCAACCTGGACTCTATACTGTTATCTAACCTTTTAGATGGTCTCCATAAGAAACTCTTGTTCATCTACAGGAGACATTCCTGATTATTTATGGTACCTAAGAGAGGGAAACAGCATGTCCATAATAAAGAGAAATGGAAACATGATATGTAACACTTGGAAGCATTATATAACAGAAACAATGAGCACGTTTCCATTTAGGAAAAAAAATATTGTGATGAAAGAGGAGAAGCATGAAAAAGTAAGGGAAGGAAGGTGTGCTGTTTCTATGAATTAAAAGCATATGCATACATAAAAGCATTCACAGTTTTAAACAAAAGCCATGGAGGCCATTTCTTTGGACTGAGCTCCCGTACTAGGTTTCAACAGATAAAAAAAATACAATTGTAGTCACTGATAAGAAATGCCAAATAAATGTTAAGGAGGTGGGAAC